ACCCGCCTCGGCCTCCCACAGTGCTGGGATTACAGGCTTGAGCCACCACGCCTGGCCAAGACAGTCTTACTCTGTCACCCAGGCTGGAGTCCATTGGCACACTCACAGCTCACTGAAGCCTTGAACTCTTGGGCTCAAACGATCCTGCCACCTCAGCTTCCCTAATAGCTGGGACTACAGGCATGTACTACCACAGCCGGCTAATTTTAGTTATTTCGTAGAGACAGAGTTTCACCATGTTGCCCAGGCTGACATTAAACTCCTGGGCTCAAGCCATCTGCCTGCCTCTGCCTCCCAAAGTGCTGGGATTATAGGTGTGAGCCACTGTGCCCAGCCTCTCCTGCACTTCTTTGTTAGCTACTGATTACCTTTACTTTTTAAAAAATTCACCAGTCCTCCAGTTAAGCAATATATGATAAATGTCAGACATTTGTAATTTTTTGCATGCATTTCCCTGTGGCAGCATTTTGGAGAATAACTTTGGCTTTACAAGCTTTAGCTACATTTATAGGAACATCTACTAGTGTTTCAGTTAGCATTCCATGTATTAGGGCTTTTCCCACTGTCACGTGTTGATGAATTAGTTACAGAGAAGACAAATTTGTTTTTAAAGAATAAAATTATAAAATGCTTTTCTTTTCAACCATGCCCTTGTTAATTCTTTCTTTCAAGAAAGCTGATGGTGTGCCCGTCTACCTGAAACGAGGCCTGCCTGACCAAATGCTTTACCGGACCACCATGGCGCTGACTGTGGGAGGGACCATCTACTGCCTGATCGCCCTCTACATGGCTGCGCAGCCCAAAAAATGAGTTAGGCTGCAGAGGACTGGTTTGTTTTTTTTGGCATAAACCCTTTGAATTTCCTTTTTCATTGTTAATTTTTTTTTTTTAACTTGGATAGCTTAACATTTTTAAAAATGCAAGAAAAATAGATATGAAGGCGATATTTTGGTTTGTTTATGAAATGCATATGGCTTGTCAGAGCTCATTCCACAATTAAAGCCATTGTTTAAAGAAATGGTGCTGTGCTCTGTGTTTGTGCTCCTGATTTCCCTGGAGGTTCTGGATGAAAGTTGCACACAGACTTATTAATGTCAATCTGTGCCTCAGGGACTTGAGGTTGCGTTTTTGAGCATGGGGTGCAGAAGCCTTTCTGGATTTGGATGTGACTGTGGAAAGAATACAGAAGCCAAGGCCATATGCATAAAATGAGGGGTTCCTGTTAGTAGTCGCCTCAGGGATTTTTTGCATTTTGCAGTAAGATGTTAAAAGAAGTTATTTGTAACCTGCCTCTGTTCACTGGGCAGTTCATTTCAAAGGGTTATTTGCCTCACCTCCTATCTTCAGTGAAATCTTATGTGTAATTGTGTGTATTTATTCCACCATGGGAACAGAGAACACCTGCTTAGTGTTGCACTTTAGACTGGTGTCTGTTTTATTAATACAGCTTTGCCACAAATTCTCCTTTATCTTTTAAAAATGTTATAGCTTTAAATTATGACTTATTTTGACTGTGGAATAAATACATGAATGAAAAATTTTAAGTTTGAAGTTCTTCGAATGACCTTTCAGAGTAATTTCACAACACCAGCAGCATCTTAAACCTGAGTCTAATTCCTTTCTTGTTAATTAGGCACCAGATAATCTTTACAGAATGGTTCCTAAAAGTCTAGTAATAGGAGTCTAATGGCATATTGATGATTACCATATGGTTCCTTATAAAAACTGCCTGCCGCTTAGTGAAATGTGCCTGTAACTCAGTTCATTTAGACAGGAATTTCCTTTGCTGTCATGATTAGTAGACTTTACTTAACCTATATTAATTTTGAAAAAATGGTGGAATTTTATTGTATATAAAGGGATGATCTGTATCTTACCATAGCACAGAACAGTGACCTCTTGCTCAGGATAAAATGTGGTGATTGAAAATAGTAGTAGCCTTGCAAGAATATATGTGTATCTCTGTGCAAGTCTAAATTTTGTTTTTCTCTGGTATTTCCCCCAAGGTTTTATTTTGAAAAATTTCAGACTACAGAAAGACTAAGCATAGCCTAATATGCACCTGTATGTCCTTCACTTAGATCAGTAGTTATCAATATATTGGCACCTTTGCTTTTTCTTGTTCTCTCACACAGGCACACGCAATGTATATATGCACACACATTTGGTTTTTGTTGAATCATTTAAGATTGTTATGGAATTATGATAAATCAGCCATAAATACTTTAGCAAGTATCTCCTGAGTAAGAACATGTGTTCCTTTATAACCATAATCCAGTTGTCAGACTCAATAAGGTTAACAATACTACCATCTAATATATAGTTTATTTTAAAATTTCCCCAGGTGTTCCAATAATGAGTTCTTTGTAGTTGTGTTTTTTAAAATAACATCTTTATTGTGATATAATTTACATACTGTACAGTTCACCGAAAGTGTACAATTCATTGGTTTTTACTGTATTTGGAGTTGTACAGCCATAACTAGCATCAATTTTAGAACACTTACATCACCCTAATAAGAAACCCTGTGCCCATTAGCAATCACTTGCCTTCCCTCCCACCACCCCAACTCTCACCTCCGAGCCCAAAGCAAGCACTCATCTACATTCAGTCTCAATTTGTCTTTCCTGGACATTTCATATAAATAGAATCATGATGTGTGATGTGTGTTACTGGCTTCTCTCAGTGTAATGTTTTCAAGGCTCATCCGTGTTGTGTCATGGATTGATACTTTACTCTTTGTTATGGCTGAATAGTATTCAGTTGAATGGATATACCACATTTTGTTTTATCTGCTCTTCTATGGATCGACATTTGGGCTCTTTCCACTTTGGGGCTGTTAGGAATAATGCTGCTATGAGCAATGGTGAACAAGTTTTTACGTGGACATATGTTTTCATTTCTCCTGGGTGTATACCTAGGAATGGAGTTGCTGGGTCATATGGTAACTCTTGTGTTTAACATTTTGAGGAACTGCCAGACTGTTTCCAACTCACTTGTACCATTTAACATTTTTACCAGCAGATGCAGTTCATTTTTGGTTTTGTTTTGGGTCCAGGATCCTGCCAAGGATCGTACATTGCATTTAGTTGTTGTGACTCTTTATCCAGAATAGTCAGTCCCCCGTGCCCTTTCTGATAGTGACCTATTTGAAGAGTCCAAGCAAGTTGTTTTGTAGGATATTCCTCAACTTTGATTTGTCTGATTGTCTCATTGGTGGTTTCAGGTTAAAAATTTTTCTCAGGAATTCTTTATAGGTGATACAGTGTCCTTATGATGTCAGATGGCACTTGTTACCAGTTTGTCTCATTACTGGTGATTTGAAGTTGTGTCTGCCAGATTTCTCCCTTGTCAAGTTGTTACCCTTTCCCCTTTGCGACTAGCAAGCAGCCTGAGGGGTGATATTTGAGACTAGGAATATCCTGTCCTTAGCAGGTTTGCACTCTGTGTTCATTGGTCATTCCTGACTGAATTATTACTAAGGTAGTTGTAAAGTGATTTTCTGTTGTCATTCCTTTTATGTTTTTGACATTTCCCTGAAGATGAGCCTTTAAAGAAATTTGTAATATCCTCATTTGATGAGTAATAACCATCTCTGCCATTACCCATTTCAGTGCTCAAATGTGGCTTCTGTGTTCTGTGAGCATCTCCTATCAGTCTTTAGCACTTCCCTACTTTGTGACAGACAAGATGGCTTCCATGCTGAACTTGTGTTTTCCCTACCTCAGTTTCCTCTGTTTATTGTCAGACATATTCTATGAATGTATACATAGATGCATTTTCTTTGCCTGTTTTATTTTTGCCTAAATGGTAGGTAGTATACCTTTCAAATCTCACTTGAGCTTGTTCTGTCCCATTTTTCTACACTGGATTTTATTTTATGAATGTACCATAGTTTAGTCTCTTTTTGAAGGGTATTCAGTTTAAACTTTTTTGCTTTTATAAATGTGACTTTAATGCATAGTCTTTGGATGTCATTTAACATAATGTTGAATATATTTATTGGATCATTTCTAGCTGTGAGATTTAGTAGGTGAAGGGGATGTGCATTTCCAATTTCAATAGTGCTATTCCTTACTAAAAAAAAATGATGCTGGTTTACATTCCTGTCTAGCAGTTTTGAAAGTGCCCAGTTCTTTTTACCTTTGTCTACATAAAATATTACCCCTTTCTGGCGGTGATGACCTACCCACGAGAACATGCCTCTTACAAAGGATCTCCTTCATCCGTCTCCAGAAGAGGAGAAGACGAAACACAAGAAGAAACACCTGGTGCAGAGCCCCAACCCCTACCTCATGGATGTGAAGTGCCCAGGATGCTATAAAATCTCCATGGTCTTTAGCCATGCACTAACAGTAGTTTTGTGTGTTGGCTGCTCCAGTGTCCTCTGCCAGCCTACAGGAGGAAAAGCAAGGCTTACAGAAGGATGTTCCTTCAGGAGGAAGCAGCACTAAAAGCACTCTGAATCAAGGTGAGTGGGAAAACATCTCTATAAACACATTTTGGACAAAGGAAAAAAAATTACCAGACTTTTTGATCTTTGCCAGTCCTCTAAGTGATAACATTTCTTTGTGGTTTAAATTGCCTTAGTAGGCCCGGCGCCACGGCTCACACCTATAATCCCAGCACATTGGGAGGCTGAGGCGGGCAGAACACTTCAGCCCAGGAGTTCAAAACCAGCCTGGACAACATGGTGAAACCCTGTCTCTATAAAAATACCAAAAGGGTTGAGGCAGGAGAATTGCTTGAGGCCCAGGAGGTCAAGGTTGCAGGGAGCTGAGATTGTGCCACTGCGTTTCGGCCTGGGCGACGGAGCAAGAGCCAGTCTCTAAAGAATTAAAAAAAAAAAAAAAATACTCTGGAGATAAGTGGGCAAAGTACATGAGTAGATAGCTTATTAAAAAAGGAAATAAAATTTACCTTTAAAAAAAATGCCAGTTTTTAAAAAAATATTCAACATCACTAATTATTATAAAAAGGTAATTTCATTTTATTTTTTTTTTGAGACAGGGTCTCATTCTGTCGCCCAGACTTAAGTGCAGTGGCTCCATATTGGCTCACTGTAGTCTTGACCTCCTGGGTTCAAGTGATTCACCTCAGCCTCCTAAGTAGTGGTACTATTGGTGCTGCTGCAACAGGCTTTTTTTTTTTTTTTTGGGAGATACGAGGTCTTGCTGTGTTGCCCAGGCTGGTCTTGAACCCTTGGCCTCAAGCAATCCTCCTGCCCTGGCCTCCCAAAATGTTGGGATCACAGATGTGAGCCACTTGCCTGGCCCAGAGTACTTGTTGATAATGCTAAATGTCTTGGTCTGTTAGGCTGACTTCCTCAGGAATAGTCTCTAGTGACTCCTGTCTGAGCCAGACCTCTTCTGTTTACAAGTTCCAGAAATTCATTAAAACCAGTTGATATAGAAAGGGGGATTTTTCAGAACCTAAGCAAAGCTGGGCCTCACAAGGACTGCCCTTGGGTCCAAGGCAGCTGTCGTTTATGTCACTCTCTTGATTATGCAGCTGTTTAATTCTGTTTCTGCAGACCAGCTTTCTCTGCTTCTCCTTGCATTTGGAATTGTTGTCCAGCTACTGGCAACCTGCTCTAAATTCCAGGAGAGAGAATGTTATTGGCCCATTTGGGTGAGGTATCCCCCACTGGGCCAGTCAGCTGTTTGGTGCCAGGCTGTCGGGGCAGATGCAGGGAAGAAGCCCAGGCTGTCCTGTTCTTGGATCTTAACTGACAGTGTAGAACCTTTCACTTTATTTCAGAGTTAGGATTAGGATTATGCCTTCTGAGCACATTACTTTGAACCCTTGCCAGGTTGGTTGGTTTACTCAGAGGAAGACCCACCTCTCTCTCACTGGTTTGCCTTTTCTCAGTGCTATCTGGGTGAGATGCTGTTAATACAAGAACATTCCCTCTACTCACCTCCTCCGGGTCATGCAGTTAGGCCAGGATGCTAAGTGCAGTCCTCTTTACCACAATGCTGTGGGTTGACATGATCCCAGGGCTGTGAAGACTTTATGGGGTACCCAGACAAGGATAACTTAAGGGAATTGTTTTAAGGCAGCCTCCATTACACTTCCTAAAATTAAGCTGCTGCAGAGTACACCTGGCTTAAGGGGGTCTTGCATGATGTTCTTTCACTTTAAAGGAAGACAGACCCTCAGCCATTCTTGTCCCACCAAGTGTGTTGCCCTGGAGAGTGAAAACCATCCCTGGGGCAGTGTGGGAATAAGTGCAAATATTGGTAACATTGAGGAAGTTGTGACTCAGACTGACAATTTTTTTGCAATGTAGAAATTTTTTTTTTTGAGACGGAGTCTCGCTCTGTTGCCAGGCTGGAGCGCAGTGGTCTGATCTCGGCTCGCTGCCATCTCTGACTCCCTGGTTCAAGCAATTCTCCTACCTCAGCCTCCTGAGTAGCTGAGACAACAGATGCATGCCACAACGCCCAGCTAATTTTTGTATTTACAGTAGAGACTTCATGATCTGTCCACCTTGGCCTCCTAAAGTGCTGGGATTACAGTGCTGTTGATAGACTGCTCAGGCCAATTTAGAGATTTTTTTTTTTTTTTTTTA